CCTGGAGTCCAGGTGGAGTCAGAAACCAGGTCCAGTAGGAGAAGACGACATTACCTTTACCTCTTACATTTAATAACCAATTATGGGGGGTTTAGTTTGATTGGGCACAACATTTGTTTGGGGGGCCGGGCCCCCTCTGGCCCCCGCCTGGACCCGGCCCTGCAGGCAATAAGAGGAACTGGGCTCGTCCATTTAATTTTAAATCGTCTCCAGTGACATTAATAGTGTAGCTTAATGTGTTTAACAGCAGAGCAGACAACTTTCCCACGTGAGGACAAATGTTTGTCTGCTATTATGTCACGGTTACTGACTCCTATTGTTGATTCTTTGTAAGTGAGTCTTTATACCTTTGCCAGATTTCCGGTCCAACTGCTTGGACTTGATTTCCCGGTAGAGTTCCAAGGAGATGAGTCCGTAGGCCGTCATCATCACGATGCCAGGAATGAGAAAGAGCAGCAGCAGCAGGGACACATACCTGCAACGTTCGGGGCGTTATTCAGCGGATGGAACGCAGCCGGGCGGTTTTCTTATTATACAGCAGAACCTCGACTTACGGTCCCTAAATTTTCCAGCTTACGAAGTCCCTAAATTTTCCAGCTTATGAAGTGAAATTCAAACAAATACTCGACTCGACACCCGAAGTAAAAGTAATAGAAAATAATATATATAAATGTATATACATAGATATAGATACATATGTATATATATATATATATATATATACGTATCAATTAAATAGAAATAAATTAGCTAAGTTAGTTTAAAGTTCAGAGTAAGTTATGGTTCGTCCTGTATCTCAGTCTCCACCTCTACATTTCTTTTTACTCTTATATAATGCATTTGTTTTGCTGCTATGTGTAATTATCTCCAGTATTTATTTTTGGGTTGTGGAACCAATTATAGGAATTACAGTGTATCCTTATGTGAATATATGATCCAACATATGAATATTTTAACATGCGAAGTCGGTCCTGGAACCAGTTAAATTTGTATGTAGATGTTCTCCTGTATTTATTAATATTTCTTTTTCACCAAATGTTATCCTTTCTGCTTTTGAAGGGTCACAAACGCGAGCCGGCCTTTTGCCCCCGGAGGCTGTTTCACACCTGCAGCAGCGGGGTGAGAAAAGTCACCTGGCGCCAGTGTTAGGATTTGGTTATAAATACACACTTTAGCATTGTTTGCTATCACATGATCTATGCATATTATTTGTTTTGTTTCATTTTATATTATAACTATATTTTGTGTTGAAGTCTCTGGCTGTAACCACAGATTCTCTTTGTTCTCTCTTTTTCTTTCTATCCTCTTTCTCTGTTGCATTAGATCCACGTCTTTAAGTCAAC